AAAAGAGAGAATGATTTCTCCTCCTCTATTGTTGTAAATCTTGTTCTCTCCCTACATAATGAAATGGCTTCTCCCGTGGATGTAGGCGGTTTTGCCGAACCACGTTAAATATTATGTCAGTGTGCTTGGTCTTCTATGAGCAAGTATCAGAACATCATCGGTCGGATTTCCCAACAATTGGTATTAGAGCACATGGTTTAAAGTGGTGTTTGGTATCAGAACATCACCGGTCGGATTTCCCAACAAAGCTCACCTCCTACCTTAAATCAACAATTTACAATTACGTTACCAATTTCTCAAAGTTTCTGAAACCATAGAGTAGAAAATCATAATTTCCCTTCCTATACATAAATTGATAAAAATTAGAGAGGTATGATATCTTACCCAAGAGTTTTGAACCTCATTTAACACTTTTCTAGCAAGTTTCTTCCTCAATTCTCGTTTTCCCTTCATTGTACCTTACTTCAACTACTTATTTCTCACTTTCCCTCTCCTAAACACTATTCCACACACTTGATTTTCCAAGAAAACAAGGAAAGAACCCAATCTCTCACTTCCTACTCTTCATTTAAGTGAAAAAAAACAAGAAGATAAAAGAGAAGAAAAGTTCAAAGCTTCCTGTTTTTTTCTCATTGGGCTGCCCAGCTGCTTATCAAGGAAGAAGGGAGAGATTTCTGTTCCATGTTCTGAAAATACCCCTATTTGTTGGTTATGAGCTCTATCATCATTTCAACAGGCAATCGGTAGATTTCTTCCAGCTTAGCTTATATGTGGAAGGAAATAAAATTTCCTATCTGAATTATCATTTGATTATTTGTTTATGTCAGAATTTCACGTGGACTAACAACATAAATATGAGAAGTGGTTGTTCTTTGCTACCTCATATCAGGTATGCTGAAGTGGAATGTTAACGCGTCTTCAAGTTGCAAACCAAGACCATCAAGAATTGATGGTGTTCTTCTTGTTCCACTAGTAATATAAAATCTAATGAAGCTCAAGTTTTCGTAATTCAAAAAGCTATGCTTTTTAGTATTGATTGCTGCCACGCTTCTACAAATCAATTGGCTGTAGAGTCAAATTCTCATGATGCCATTACCTATATTAAAGGAACAAATGCTAAGCGATCTTGGCACCTGCAAACTAAATTCAATGATTTTTCAAATGGATGCAATAGGCTTCATTCTGAAAGTTTTGAACATGTTCATAAGAAAAGAATCAAGTTGTAGATCATTTAGTCAAGCAAGGAGTTCTAAGAAAAGATGACTTAGTTGTGGATTTAGTCGTGCTAATAAGTTTTCTCACTCTTCTGAGTTTTTCTATACTCTTCTTTCTATCTATTAAGCTATGTTTTTAATGGCCATAATAGTGATTGAATAAATCTCTCGTATTTTTAATAAGAAAAAAAACTCTTTGCATATTCTTATTATTTATATGATTTTGAGTCCATGTTTGTTTTTATGTTTTAAAAGTGTTTTTGAAAAAAAAAATTATGTTTGTAGATATCATTTTAATACACTAATTAATATCAAAAATAATTTTTTAAAAAAATATATATTATTTTGATATATTTTTAAGTGAAAAACACTTTAAAAAGTAACCACAACCATACTTACAAACACATTTCGTTTGAGAACATGATTGAAACCATATTTCTCAAATTTAAAAAAAATTAATAAAAATTATTTTTTTATGCTTTTTGATTGTTTTGATGTGTTGATCTTCAATATAATTTTTTAAAAATAAAAAAATATTATTTTAATATATTTTTAAATAAAAAAACATTTCAAACCATAAATGGTATTATAATTTCATACAGTCAATTACTCTATAACAAAAGCCCAATATTACAAAAATTATCCTGGAAACTAATATTGCCGTGTTTCCAACACTGTTGTTTAGAAATATTTAAACTTTCAATAATTAAACCTTCAGTCCCATGTTTTGCGCCACTTGTTTGACAATCTATATTAGTTGCGGAGACTTGAAGGTCAATAAAAGGGACAGACTTGAAAAAAGAAAGAACTTTTTGGATTGCCAATTCAAATCATAAACTCATTTAAAATGCTAATTATTATAATGGCATTTTAGTCATTTAAAATAATATATATAAAGTAATATATATATATATATATATTATAATGGCAGTTTTTTTTATCTTCTATATTTGGTTTTCAAGATTTTTCCTTCCATAATTTTAATTCTCTCCGATTTGGACACATCCGATTTGCTCGATGGGTGCACAAGTACTTGTGAACAATAATGATTTAATAGTATGATTTTTTTTTTATAATAATCAAAGTTTTATTGATTTTGAAGTAGAATACAATGATAATAGAACCTTCAAATAGAAAACAGATGCTATACAACTAACATAAATATAAAGAATATTAATTTGACACCAACAGAACTTTAGTTGATTATGATTAGATTATATGCATTAATTAATATTACTCTAAAGAGGTGTAATAAGAAATTTTAGGTTTTTTTTTGTTTTTTGTTTTTACTGTAACAGATCAATTTTTTTCCTCTTAAGTTTGTTTTTTTTTTGTTTTTATCTTGTCCTTATATTTTATTTTGATTATTAGTTTAATGGTCTTTTCAATATATTTCGATGATTATATATATATATATATAATATATATATATATTACTCTAAAGAAAAATGGATGATATATTCAATATCGAACTTCAAAACATTAAAAGGGTATTCAAAAGATTGTTTTAACGACAAAAATTGACCAACGATGGTTATTTAACAGACATAATAATTTCTTGTATACTTTATCCACGTTTTGGTGCTTAAATCATGCATGGCCACATACCTAAGATGCGAATTAACTACGTTTGTAAATTATTGAAAAATTTTGTGGTTTTTTATGGGAAATTAAATTCAGTATGTAAAGCAAGCTTCACATAAATTTCATTCCTAAATATACTTTAGAAAAACTTATCTGAACATTCACATTAATCAATCATAATTTTTTCTTTTAAAAATATTTTCATGTAAAATTTCAATTTTAATATCTATAAAATTAATTATTAGTATTATTACGTGTAAATTGATCTAGAAATTCATGATTATTAAAAACAAATATATAGAGGGATACCATCTTTTTGTATCTTTACCTAAAATTGTAAATGGACTCTCAATATTCAGAAATTTGCATAAAAATGTCAATTTTGGAAATTAATATTGCCGTGTTTCCAACGCTATTGTATAGTCAATTAAGGGACGGACCTTCTGGTATGGAAATATTTGCAATTAAATAATTCAACATTCAGTTCCATCTTTTCCACACGTAATTGTTGGACAATATATCCAAGTTCCGGAAGACTTGGAGGTCAAGGAGGAAAAGGACAGACCATCGGACGAGCTACAAAAAAATTTCTAATTACAGCACAAACTGTATCTATTAGCACATACACTTTCTGCAGATGTAAATCATCTTTACGTATCTTTACCTAAAATTGTTAATGAACTATTTATGAATAGTCAGAAATAATTTCCACAAAAAATGTCAATTATGGAAATTAATATTGCCGTGTTTCCAACACTATTGTTTAGCCAACTGAGGGACCTACTTGTGTAGAAATATTTGCAATTGAATAATTCAACCTTCAATTCCATAATCAGCACCAAATGAAGATTAGCACATAAACTTGCTGCAAATGTAAATGTAGGGATATTATCTACTCTCAACAAAAATCATGGAGCCACTTCATTTGTGAACGTAGATTATACAATAAGAAACCGTTTGCTCTATAGGCAACTCATGCAAAAGAAACAAAGAAGATCGAGTTCGCTAGCAGCAATAAAATAAATATATTAAATAGCTTGCTCTTAAACTTAGAAATCAAGATTGTTGGTCTGTGTTTTGTATTGTGGGTTGTAAAGAATCATCACACTTAAAAGTTTATATCGTTAATTAAAATTTTAATATATAATTCTCTATTATATCATTTCAAGTAACGTGCACAAACTCATACTATTTTATGTTTAATTTTTATCAAATATAATTAAAGTTGTGAATTTCATACTCATAACTACTAAGGCTCTAATATCATATTAAAAAATTATCTCAATATAAAAATTTAAGCTGTTAAATGAGATTCTAATATATGATATTATATTACTCTCTAAAACCCCTCCTCGAGTGAAAGCTATTTGATCTTAAAACTTGCACAGGTCGGCATTGTCTTGTGCTAGTAATTGAATTTTAATCAGAAGAGAGAATAAGAGTAATGAGATTTGAATTCGTGATTATTTAATTTTTAAGACTTTGATATCATATTAAAAAGCTATCTCACTAAAAAACATAAGTTATTAAGTAAAACCTCAATATATGATTTATATAATTTTCTAATATTGTTAAATATTTTTCAAAGTGTTTTTGCAATTACTTTTCACTTGAAGAAATATTAAATTGATGTTTTCTTAGGTGTTTTGTTTTTATGATTTTAAATATATGTTAATGTCAAAAATTAAAAATTAAAAAATATATATATTTTTAATTAAAAAAATATTTTAAAAAAGTACTATGGATCATGTTATCAAACACCCGTAATGCAATGTACATTTCTTACTTGATTTTTTTTATTTCTCCATGGTAACTATGTAAAATGTAATAAGAATAGTGCTGACTCGTGTGCCCATGAATATAACATGGACGTATGCCTAAACTGTGAATTAACTACACGTGTAAATTATTAAAAGAAATTCATCCTTTTGAGAATCTTGTGTGTTGTTTTTTTTTTTATTTTAAAATATCTTAAAAAAATTCAGTGGACGAAGGAAACTTCGCAGAAATCCCACTTTCAATAATATCTACAGAATTTATGAGCACTATTAATTTGTTGGAAAATTATATACAAGAAATAAAGACTTTGGGGTTAAAACAACGAAAAGGAAACAGGCCAAATCGTCAGTGCTCAAGATTGGTTTTTTCTTTGGTACGGGAAAGAGGCCAAATCGTCAGTGCTCAAGATTGGTTTTTTCTTTGGTACGGAATTTGAATAGCAAAATCTTGATTGGTTTGTGTATAAATAGTACCGATGCAAATCTTTATTTCTCATCTTTCGTCCAACACTCCAAATATACTTTCGAATCCTGCAAGGCCAGCCAACATGGGGTTTTCACCACTGTCCCTCTCTCAATTTCTCTCTTCCATTCTGTTTCTCTTCCATTTTCACACAACAATTTCTTCATCAAATTACTCCTCTTCATCTCATTTCTGTGCTCCTGACCAAAGCCTTTCTTTGCTCCAGTTCAAAGAGTCCTTTTCCATTAGTAGCTCTGCTTCAGGGCGTTGCCAGCATCCCAAGACAGAGTCGTGGAAAGAGGGTACAGACTGCTGCTTGTGGGATGGGGTCTCTTGTGACCTGAAAACCGGGCATGTCACTGCACTGGACCTCTCTTGCAGCATGCTTTATGGCACCCTCCATCCCAATAGCACCCTCTTCTCCCTGCATCATCTTCAAAAGCTCGACCTCTCTGACAATGATTTCAATAGCTCCCATATTTCTTCTCGATTTGGCCAGTTCTCCAACCTGACACATCTTAACCTAAACTACTCAGTCTTTGCAGGTCAAGTTCCGTCGGAAATCTCTCATCTCTCCAAATTGGTTTCACTTGATCTCTCTGGAGACTTAAACGACTATCTAAGTCTAGAACCAATTTCTTTTGACAAGCTTGTTCGAAATCTAACCCAGCTTAGAGAACTCGATCTGAGTTCAGTAGACATGTCATTGGTTACACCCAATTCCTTGATGAATCTGTCTTCTTCTTTGTCATCACTCATACTCCGTTCCTGTGGATTGCAAGGAGAATTCCCATCCTCAATGAGAAAATTTAAGCACCTCCAGCAGCTGGATCTTGCAGATAACAATCTTACAGGTCCAATTCCATATGATCTTGAGCAACTCACTGAGTTGGTTTCACTTGCTCTCTCTGGAAACGAAAACGACTATCCAAGTCTAGAACCAATTTCTTTTGACAAGTATGTTCAAAATCTAACCCAGCTTAGAGAACTCTATCTGAAGTGGGTGGACATGTCATTGGTTGTGCCCAATTCCTTGATGAATCTGTCTTCTTCTTTGTCATCACTCACAGTCTATTCATGTGGATTGCAAGGAAAATTCCCATCCTCAGTGAGAAAATTTAAGCACCTCCAGCTGTTAGATCTTAGATTTAGCAATCTTACAGGTTCAATTCCAGATGATCTTGGGCAACTCACTGAGTTGGTTTCAATTGATCTCTCTTTCAATGACTATTTGAGTGTAGAACCAAGTTCTTTTGACAAGATTATTCAAAACCTAACCAAGCTAAGAAATCTCCGTTTGGGTAGTGTAAATATGTCTTTGGTCACACCTAATTCCTTGGCGAATCTGTCCTCATCCTTGTCAGCTCTTGGCCTTTGGGAGTGTAGATTGAAAGGGAAGTTTCCAGGTAACATCTTTCTCCTACCAAACCTTGAAGTGCTTGATTTGTCCAACAACAATGACCTCACTGGCTCTTTTCCTTCATTCAATGTGAGTAATGGCCTCCGGTTATTGGCTCTTACTCTTACGAAAATTTCAGTTTCTTTAGAAAATGACTTCTTCATAAATCTAAAGTTGTTGGAAGTTCTGGTTCTTAGAGAATGTAATATCATAAGGTCAAATCTAACCCTGATTGGTCATCTCACACAGCTCACTCGTTTAGACCTCATAGGTTGCAATTCGGGCGGTCAGATTCCATCATCACTTAGAAATCTTGTGCAACTTCAAATCTTATATCTCGATGGCTGTAATTTTTCAGGTAGGATTCCAGAATTTTTAGGTAACCTGACCCTCCTTGAAGTATTAGGTTTAGCGAGTAATCAACTTTTAGGACCTATCCCTTCTCAAATAAATACTCTTTCATTAAGATTGCTTGATTTGAGATACAACCACTTGCATGGTCCAATCCCAAGTTCAATTTTCAAACAAGAGAACCTGGAAGCCCTTGCTCTTTCCAACAATAAATTAACAGGTGAAATTTCTTCTTCTATTTGCAAGCTTAAATTCCTTTGATTCCTTGATTTGTCCCAAATCACCTTCAGTGGTTTT